TTCCCTTCCCTCAGCCCAGTGGGCCCAGACCCACGCAGCCAGGCGGGGAGGGGACGAGGGCGCGCGGCTGGGTTGCGATCGGAAGCGGTGGGGACAGGTCAGGTAAATCTGCCGGCGGCCAGGGATGGGAGAGTGACGAGGACGGGACCATCCTTGCTCAGGCCGGGTATTTCTTGGGGCCGCCGGAGCTGTTTTCTTTCCAGGAACCCGCGCGACTTTCTGCAGCGAGACCCTAGGATGGACATCGGGGCTTTCGGCTTCGACAGCGTCGCGATTTCGCTCTCTTTCCGGGGGAACGGTGGCAGGGCGTCTCCTGCTTGTCGGCTTCTGAGGATATGCCTGGCTCATGGGTCCCAAGAAAGCTTGGACTGCATTGAGGAGCCCCCTTCCTTTCCCTGTCCACAGTGTTAGTGGGCGATTTTGCATACTTGCATTTAGACCCATAGACTCAGAACGACTCATTACACTCCACTATCACACACACACATACACACTGAGTGTACACGGATGCACTCACATTCACACACGTATGCATGCAGCCTGTTTCTTGCTCTGGCCCGGCAATCTCCTCCAGAGACTCTGAGGTCGAGTGAGGGACCCGTGTGTGCTATTCACCCCTGCTCCCCGCATCGCCAGGCTGGCTGGCTTCTCCTGGAAAGGGCTTAAGAGGGACAGGCCTCTGGGCTGGGCTGCTGGCGGGAACTCTAGTCCCCGTTCTGGGACCAAACACACGCAGCTTCATAGATCGTGGACCGGACCTGACTCTCCCGGGACCTGGGAACCCACTATTTCACTCTGTTTGGGGCCACCTCCTGTCTTCCCGTCGAGTAGGATCTCCAACCTGAAGAGAGTACCCAGTCCCTCTCTGCCTAAGAACCAGCCCAAGAAGCCTTTTTTCCTCTGTGCCTGGGAAATGCGACCCTTTCCTGGGAGCATGGTGGGGTTTTGGTGCTAGAAGAATCAAGCAGGGACCCCACTCGCAGCTGCCGTGTTTAGGTGAGAAATTCTGGGGGTCCTGCTGCCGTGGGGCCACATACTTGCACTTCCGATTTCGCTTCAGTGAACTGGTTAGGTACCCAGAAGGGGGAAAGAGCAATCAAAGCGAAAGTGGGTGCCTTACGGGAACTTCAGAGCTGGGGAGAGCGCAAGACTCCCTTCCACCCCAGGCGGACTGGTGAGCAGTCAGGCTCGGACCTGCCCTCTGGTACAGGCTTGCAGACTCAACCCTAAGCTCGGGGGACTGTGCATACTGTCTCCTCCCCCATCTGCTCTCTAAGACCCCTGGGCTTCCTGCAGGGTCCAGACCAATGCGGCTGGGCTCCAGTTTTTATCTGTCCTGATCCCGGGTTTGCCCTGACCAATGTAAGTGTCGCCCAATAAAACCTATGACCCCCCAGCCTCCCCCACACACCCAGTGTGCCTTTTCCTTCTTGACTTTTTAGTAGTTTGGGATAAATATTGATTTGCCCCCAGTTTACCTTCTTCCTGACTGGCCATTTGAAGACTAAGGGACCAGCCTCTGAAGGGACTTGATTTTCACGTTACTTCCCAGCCCTTCCACCGCCCCCCTTCCTCTCTCTAAGTGGCATTGTAAAACTCACGGTGACAAAGAGACAGAGTAGGGTTCGAGGCCCCAGTTCCTGGGGACTTGAAGGCGGTTTTACATACGGGTCAGACACGGCTGGAGGCCAAGGTCAAGTTGAAAGTCGCAGTCTAGCCAGCGTGAGAACTGCCAGGCAAGCCTGGAGACCCAGCCGGCTGCAAAAGACCCACCGCCCACCTCCCCTCACTCTTAATCCTCCTCCCCCTCTTTTAAAAAAATTCTCATATCTGGCTCTGCTCAGCTGCCCAGCATTTTTTGCTGCCTTCGTGGAGTTTTTGGGGCAGTGTTTACTGACTCTTCTTCTCTGCCTCCGCCCTCCTCTTGGCCAGGGTTGCGAGCCTCTTCTATTTTCCAGCCAGACCCGGAAAAACGAAAACACAGCTTGGGGAGCCCCCACTAGCCGGCGCCTGTGCCAGCTCACCTCTGCCCATAGCGCAGCTGCGGGTGCACACAGCCGCCAAGGCCAGCTCCGCCGGCTTCCCTCCCCCTCCCACTTTACCGGAGCCGAGAACCCTGCGGAAGGGCCTCAGCTCCACAGACTGCCAAAGTCGACTGGGTCCCTCCTCACCAAAAATGGTGAGACAATATTCCATCTTGTCCACCGAGAAGCCTCAAGCAGGTTTGTCTGGGAGGGACGGTGCTGGGGGGGAAGGCTTTGGACTGCATCTCAAATGAAGCTTTTCTCGGCAAACACAGCACCTCCACCAAGGAAGAGCTTGGGGGCCTGAATTATTGAGACGTATAGTGCACCTTTAGTGATCACATTTCTGGATATTTTCTTAGTTATCCGTGTATTCTTGTCAATTTTTTAAAACTCCCAAGACAAGGTTACTTAGAGGAAGGCCTTGTTCCCCTCTTGTCCTGGATCTTAATATACATATGATTTTTCCACCAGGTATGTCAAGTCGTCCTGACATGCTTACACTGTTTTTAAAACTCTGAATGTCTTGCTAGATATAGAGTGGTAGCAACCAATCAGTGGGGATGGTTTACAGAAGAACGAGCTCTGTGAATAATTTTGGGTCTGAGTTTCTGGAATTTCTACTCCCTTTGAAGCAAGAATAATGCCCCCTCTCCATCTTCTGCTGAGAGAAATAAGACGTTTGTTAATGGTTCCAATGAAGCTTCTTTCCCTGCCAGGCAGCCACCAAACTAGCTGTGGAAAAATAAAGTTCGGAGAGCAATGAAGAATTAAGTGTGCTCTGGGAAGATCCTCCCAGATTTCCTCCCCTTCTCCCAACAGCAAGATCAAGATTTGCTTGACTGCCCAGTAAGTGAGGTCTGGCCATCTGAGCTGTCTGCCCCTCTGATTTTTTTGTCCTCTAGGCTCAGGAATTCGTATAGGATCGAAGGGAGGCATCATCAACTTAATTTTATCTTCAGACTCCTCGTGGGTTAGGATGGGGAGGACAAGGCAGCCACTGAGATCTGCGGGCAGCAATGGCCCCTTGAGCAAGAGAGTCAAGCAGAGGTTTGTATGGGTGGGGGTGGGAGAGGCTGTGGTCACTTTTCAGGCTCTGTCTGGTGTGCCTAGATTTCCCCAGAGAAGCCCTGAGAGGGCAGTACAGGCAGGACCGGGAGGGCGGCAAGCTTCAGGACGGCCTTTGTTCAAGGAGTTGCCAGAGCCTCTCTCTTACTCCAAAGCGCCTTGGCCAACAGGGTTTCTTATCTCCCAGAGTGGGCCAGGGCGCCCTGTAGGACGTAGCTGACCAGAAGTTGCACGGTGAAGAGACCTAGCCTGAGTTTCTCTGGATGGGGGACTCTATGCCTGTCTGGTTCTTGGGGCCCCGAGCTCCCAGGATTGGAAGAGAAAAGGACAAAGGGAAGCCAGTTTTTAATCGAGTTTGATTTTCATTAGCAAATGAAATTTACCTGCTCTCACTTTAACTCAGAGAAGGCTGTCAGCGCTGCTCCCTGGCACTATTTCTTTGCATCCATCCAGGATTAGGATACACATTCTTCAGTTGGTTCTAAAGACACTTTGTATTTCAGGATATTCATGTGTTTCTAATGTATCCAAGCAGCTTTACAAGCCGCATTTGCAGAACATCTTAACCCTCTCCCTCCCACCCTTGGCGGGCTAGGGCAGAGAGATAAAGGCGAGGGAAGAAAGATCCAGAGGAAAAAGACCGGATGGGGGACTGAGGCGAGAGAAAGAGAAAAGAAGCAATCCTCACACAGTGCAGCACTTCTGAAAATCTGCATTTGAGCAGACCATTTGGGAAAGGAGCAAGTGGGTGGCTGCTCCATTCACAGCGGGCTTTTTGAATATCCCCACCCGGGTGGAAGCTGTACCTTGTTTAAGGGAAAAGGGTAAGTCCAGAAACCTGGGCCGAAGCTGGCCAGTGGGCAGGGAGATGGCGCATCCCAAGTCACTCACTCAAACTTTCCTTCTAGATTTTCGTGCATTTGAAGCAATAACGAGGCAGCAAAAGGCTGTGGGGATAGTTTCGGACCATGGGATGTCCTTTGGCACTGTGGTGACCAATTGCAAACATGGTGAAAGTGGAACTGCAAAGTCGAGGAAGACCCCCACAGTTCTCCATCTTGCCTTCT